TAGTAGTAGTAGCAGTAGTAGTAGTAGTAGTAGTAGTCGCAGTCGTAGTCGTAGTAGTCGTAGTCGTAGTAGTCGTAGTAGTCGTAGTCGTAGTAGTCGTAGTCGTAGTAGTCGTAGTCGTAGTAGTCGTCGTCGTAGTAGTAGTAGTAGTAGTAGTAGCAGCAGCAGCAGCAGCAGGAGTAGTAGTAGTAGTAGTAGTAGTAGCAGTAGCAGTAGCAGCAGCAGCAGCAGAAACAGTAGCAGGAGCAGCAAAGGAGGAGGAGGAGGAGGAGGACGACGACGACTAGTAAGCAGAAGGGTTCCATCCCTCGATGCCTTCGGCGACCATGCAGCCGGAGCTTTGGCCTTGGCCTGCCGGAAGCTTCAACAAAAGACTGAGTGTATTAATATATACATATATTAGTGTGTATATATAGATATATATATATATAGATATATATATATATTAATATTACTATTAATATTGATATTAATATTGATATGAATATATATTAATATATACCGATCGAAAGCCACCGCCTCGGGGCGCTTGGGCCGCGAAGCCGGCGAGGGCAAAGGCGAGGTGGCAGGAGAAGGGGTCTTCGGCTGCACAGCTTCCTCCAAGCCCTGGTCAAGGGCATGTAGGGTCTAACATGAAAAGTCTAGAAGCACAATGCCACCATGGCTAGGATTCATGATGGCTGTGGCTGACGGCAACTGACACCAGAGGGCTGCTTCCAGCCTGTGCAGCGGCGGGACAGGCATCCGGCGGCTGGGCTGCTGCAGTCGTCCTGACTGCTGCTCGCATGGGCTGCCATGCACATCGTGCGACCAACATGTCCAAAGGCCTAGACTGACTAGAAATCGGAGTCCTGGGAACCAGGATCCTGTGCAACAAAGTGGTGCAGACCGGGCGGCTTCGGCTCCGCCGCAGTGGCAAAGCTTGCGGAAGCGTAACAGGCTCAAGGAGTCGCATGGGCCCTGGGACCAGCCCCTGCAGCGCCTGCATTGAGGTTGCTGTGCTCGGACTCACTGCTAGACCGGACGGGGAGGCTGAAGACACCCAGCTCGCCAAGTTCGATGAGTCGGGCAGTCGCGTGCGGATGGAAGGCACAGCCGAAAACGAGAGGTTTCGAGGCGAAGGAAGAGCTGAGTGAGACCATCGGTGGCTGTCAACTGTAGGTGGCATGGAGCTAAGTTGAAAAGGTGTCCTGCTTTGGAACACCGGTGAGGGCGACAATGTGGAGATTCTTGGAGACAGGTGGAATGCAGCACTTCTCGCCGGCATGGCAGGAGTGGCGGGAGCACATGGAGCGCAAGGACTGATCCATCTGATGGGCGGCGGCTCGCTGCTTGCCCTGGCAGCCCTCTGAGGGACAGAGACGAGGGGAGAAGGCATAAACGATGCCGAACTCACGCTCGATGCTCTGCTCTGGGCTAGAGTGGAGGCCGGCGAGGGCGATGCCGATCTCGCTACGGCCAAGTATGTCAATGCTTGAGGCTTCAGCCCAGCAAGTTCCATCAAGGGTGGAATTGGGCCGAAGAGCCATGGAATCTCCTCCTTCCCATCGCTTCCGCACTCCGGCGCAGCCCGTCCTCGACCCGAGTTGATGGGTACCTGACACCGGCTGCAAAGATCTGCACAGAGCCATGCCATGCCATGCCCGATATCATCGGCTTTAGCAAGGATTTCCGCCCCTTCCGCGCTCTCCAGCCTTCTCCTCCGGTGTCACAGCCGACCACCGGCCCCGCGCGCTTGGCCCTGGCTTCTTGAGATCTGCTGAACCCCTAAACCCTAAACCCTAAACGGCCCTAAACCCCTAAACCCTAAACCCTAACCCCTGGCCCCTTTGAGCCTGGAGTGGCTTGGGAAGATTCGATCCTTGGGCAGCGCAGCTGAGCTGCGAAGCTCCCGGTGCCACGGTCTGAGCCCGGCACTTCTGCGCCCGGGGCGGCGAGGGAGGTCGCTGTGACAACAGCTGGCTGAACCTATGGGTTTAGGGTTTAGGGTTAGGGACTTCACAACAGCTTCAGCAAATCCAAGACCCTCAGGTCATGCAGACCCCAAATCGTGTATAAACTTTTGAAAAAGCCTCCCCCTTCGGCGTCCGAAGCCCCCGAAGGTCATCGCGTCGGGCGCCTGTCCGACTCCAGAAGAGAAGGATCGAAGTTGCTTCTGTCGGACTGCAAAGCCTGGGAGTGCGGAGCCGACAGGATTCAGGTTTTTTTTAAGGGGCTTTTTTGGGGTTTAGGGATTTTTAAGGTTTAGGGTTTAGGGTCTTTAAATGTGAGTTTAGGGTTTTTTTTTTTGAGGGCCCTTTTCCGTCTGCCAGGTACTGACTCGGGAATCCGCGTGGCGGAAGGCACTTACCAGACAACCCTTGAGGCCGTCTGACAAGAGGAAACTGAAATCTGTACATCCCTGAAACCCTTGGCTCAGACATCTCTCTGGTTCACGACGGTGTCCCCTTCGTCAAGTTGGGTCAGCCCTTCCTTTTCTGAGTCCACCTCCGCACTGAGTACGAACTGGGCCTGCAGCATCTCCACCACCTGCTTGCCATAGCTGCGAGCCACCGCATCAGTAGTGATCCCTCCCTTGCTCCACTTGTCGTAAACCTCCTCATATTCGTGGAACTCGAGGTGCGGCAGGAGCTCCGGGACCGTCTCACACTGCGCCTCTTGGCTGCACCCCTCCGCCAGGGTTTAGGGTTCAGGGTTTAGTTTAGGGTTTCGGGAGCTGCTAGCTCTGCCTCTTCGCGGAAAAGGATGGATCTTTCGACGGAGTGTACAACTCGCCCGTACCGTACCGAAGGAGACGAATCATCACGGCCATGAGCTTCTTCCAACCACTGTTCTTAGGATTATTAGTCCTTCTGATTATTCTTATTTCTTTTTATCGTCACAGATCCGGCCACGTGGCGCTAGCGGCATTGCACAGGCCCCAGCCTGAGCGACGAGACAAGCCAAAGACCCGAAAGGCATATGAGTTTCTCAACTTGCGGCCCAGGGTCCTCTCTAGCAGACTCTAGCAGACTTCATACTAAGGATCCTGCTCTTCAGTGGGCTTGGGGAGGGTCCCTTACTTTCTGAAACTCCGGGACCCATTCAAAAGTCCACACCCAGGCCTCCGGAGAACATAAAGCCACGCGCACCTGGCGTGCCGATAATTGATACACGACGACCAAAGGTTGCGTGCGGAGCGGATCGATTGCTCCTCCACTTGGAGAGCTTCAGCGTTTAACCGGGGCTTCGCTCTTGAAGCTATACCGTCACAAGTGAGTCAGTGAATCTTGGAGTATACATCAACTCAATCATCTGATGTCTTGCGATGCTGCTTCTACACGCTGCTTCCAGATCGTGGGCTTCTGTCGAAAAGTGGCTCCAGACTCAAACCCCGAAAGCCTAAATCCCCGAGCCCTAAACTCCAAACCCACCACCCCAAACACCCAAGGCCCTCAATGCTCCCCCTTTCCCCTGAGAATCCCGCGCTTCAAGGCTCCCTTTTCGGGAGGCGGCGCCCTCCTCCGCTCCCTATGCGGCTGCGGAAAGCTAAGACGTGTCAGCCTGGATAGCATGCTTCAAGGAGAATGATCACTCTTGTCGTTGCTGCTGCTGTTGCTGCGAGTGCTGCCACTAAGCTGCTACTTGTGCTGCTTCCGTCATAGTCTTTCTGACTGATGATGTTTTTTATTGTTAAAGGGGTTGCGGATAGTAGTTCCTATTCAGAGTGCTAGTCGTCGCAGTCGCAGTCACCGCGGCAGCCGTAGCCGTAGCAGTAGCCGTCGCCGTCGTGGCAGTTGTAGCAGCAGCAGCAGCCGCCGGAGTGTCTGCTGCTGTTGTTGCTTATTCTTGTAACTTGTTGTTGCAACTACGCGTCTTTCCTCGCACCTTTTTTGCTGCATGCCACCGTCTGGAATCGAGGCCTAGCCGCCCTGAGAAAGGTCCGGCGAGGATGGTTCTCCGGAGTGCTGCCAGCAGCTGCCTGATGACCCAATCTGATCTGTCACATGCGTGGCGCAGGGTGCGGGTTGATAGCCCTGCAACTCAACGTCTTCATAAGGGACTCGGCACGACAAGGGCAGTTAGCAAACATCGCGGAGCCTCACGACACAAGCTTCTGAATGCATTTGGCACCCAATCCCCAAGTAAGAGCAAATCACGACCGCTTCATGGTTGCACCGAGCAGTGGATCTGGATACAGTCGCAGTGTCTGAAGCCAGGAGGCCTTATCGGTCCCAACCGGTCAAGTCATCATCGGAGTCGTTCGCCGGCATTGGCGCCCGTGCTCCTCTCTACCCCGACCGTTGAGGGGTTCATCTGCACCTTTTGGGTTTAGGGTTTAGGGTTTAGGGTTTAGGCTGTGAGACAGGCGTCCTGCAGCTTGCGATGCATAGCCGTGGGCAGCTGGAGGCACCTTACTAGAGATGAAGGGAACTCTTTCAAGGTTTGCTGAGGCGGTGAACCTGTGAAGTGCTGGTTGGAGGGTCCTGGCAGGTGCTGACGGGTCTTGTCAAGAGGATCGGCATCACGAGACACCATAGCTCAAAGAAGCCGGCAGAACCTGGCGTGGTGGCACAGTACCTCGCACAGCAATCGATGCACCATCTGCCAGGTGCCATCTGTTGCATCGACACGAGGTGCTTCATTTCAATCCTTTCATGCTGAACCATTAGCAGTTGGCGTCCGCTGAAAGTCACGTCTGACAATACTGAGATCGATCGTGAGGCTCGGCAAGCGTGTCTGGCACTTCGCCTGTTAAGGCTTTTCATAAGACTTACGTAGTATGCAATGGCCCGCCAAGATTCATGGGCTGTTCAGGAACACTGAGTATCGAGCCACATCCAAGATCCAACTATCGGGTGAAACTGTCGTACCGTGCACTCGGATACGGAACTTTGGCCTGTTTCTCTTGAACCTGCCTCAGACTCGCGAGCAACTCAGAAACCTCCTCGGTGTCATCCAAGAAGAATTTCGCAGCACTGGGCTTTCGGCCAACAGTGCAAGTAAAAAACCTTCTAGAGACCTGGGGTGTGTTGTCCTCACCAAGGCTTGCCAAACCACCTGACAAACTCCCTCGGAGGTCTCCACCAAAGCCACAAAGCCCACCTCCTCCTGAGAGTTTCCCACTGCTCTGACGCTTTGGGAGGAGTGAGGTATCCGACTTGGCCTTCAACTTCGAAACGCTCTCGTCGTTCTCCGAGCTATCCTCAGTTTGGCTGACCTGCGAAGGCGTCTCCAACTCATCTGCGGGATCTAGCATCTGATTGACCACTTCAAACATGTCTTCATCACTGCGGTCGTCACCAATGCATAGAATGAAGTCTACCTCGCCGAAGGACTGCGACACCTTGGTGAGTGCCTTGGTCACGGCCACGCCCTTGTTCACGCCACTGACCTTGACCTCGACGTAGCCCTTGCCTTCCAAGATCTCGAGGTCATAGCCAATGAGCAACCTGGGTTTGTTGCAAAGGGAACTGAAAATGAGGTTCAAAAAGTACGGATGCACAGATTTTGCATGCACTCTCGGGTGTGCTCCCTCAATAACTTCAGCTCCTGAAGAACAAGCCCAGCGGCTCTTTCAAATGGCTGCTGAGCTCCTTGGCCTGCCAAGATCCAAAGTGGGGGTCCGCGTCCCGATACTGCCAAACCAAGGCGCTGCCCTTGTTCTCGATGAAGCTCCCCTGTGTTCGCTTCACAAAGTTCCGCATGATCTCGAAGGCAAAAGACTTCCATGTGTAGTCTGGCCGCTGCACCATGCAGTGCCACTGTCCCCCCGTGTTGAAGGGCATCTTGTAGAAGAATCCGCGTTCTGCTGCCAAGCCCAAGCGGGGCACGCTCCCAAACCACCCTTCCATCATTTCACGATTACGGCCGCTCAGAATCACCACAATGTTGTGGTTATCCGAGCACAGGGTTTGCAAGCAGTCCATGACTTGTTGATTGGGAGCCGACCCGCGGCTTTGCAGGTCTGTGAGGTCGCCCATGTGTGCGCCATACTGACGGTACACATGCCTCTTGTCTGTGGCCAAGGTGCCTTCGTTGTCGAAGAAGAAGACACGCGTTCTGGCCTGACGAAAAGCATGTAGAACCCCATCGATGGGCAACTTCTGAAAATTCGTGCCGATGGCGACCTGGCGGATTTTGGCACCGAAGCCAATACTTTCAATTCTGATGTCATCTTTCTTTCTCGCTCGCTTCAAGTCGGTCAGGAAATCTTCGAACCAGACCATTGGAGAATTCTGCGAGACATACTGCAGATTGCACTGAAACCGATCCTTCCTCTCCTCCTCTGTCATGGTGAGGGCTCGCTGCATGATGCCGCAAAGTGCAGAGTTGTTCCACGGGTTGGCACGCAAGGACCCCAAAAGCACTCGACTGCAACCCGAGAATTCGCTGACGATGCATGCCTTATTGTCATCCATGTCGTGGTGCGCGGCCACAAATTCAAACGGCATGAGATTCAGGCCATTCTTGGCACTAGTGTCTAGCAGCACATCAGCAGCCCTGAATAGTGCTAGCCTGTCTGTTCGCTCGATCCTTTCGAAACGTAGGAAGATGCTGCAATCATCAGGCGATCCTCCGTCCTTCGTTGTGATCTCCAGCTGGCCATTGATCAAAGCATCGGCTTCCGCACGAAGCTGGGCCGCTGTGTTGGCATCCTTGACACCCAGAGAATCAAAGCAGTACTGGATCAAGATTACCTTTCCCTGATGCTCTGGCCTCTCCTTCAAGAACTGCCTGAAGGCTTGAAACTTGGGAATAAGGGCAGCCAAGCCATCGGCCCTGTCCATGCATGCGAAGATCGTCTTTCCTTCAAAGAGTTGCTTAATCTTCAAGGTCTCCTTTTGCACCTCTTCGGTGTTCACCACCTCGGCTGTGCCCGGGACACCGGGGACCTACTTACACTTCGCTAGCTGCATCTTCACTCAAAATACGGGAGCTTCTGCAGAAGCCTAGTCGTAGGATCCTTCTCATAAGCAACGCCAGACCCCACCCCTGCAGGCCTTGATGCTGGCCTGGTAAGGGTACGCAAAGTGCGCGACCTTGATCATGACCGTTCTCCCGTTGTACTCCAGGCCCGTGAAGCCACCAGCTCGGAAAGTAGGATCAAGACCATACACTCGCTTGCAGCTCACGAGGAAGTTCCGAGCGTAAGAGAAAAACTGAAACCCTAATTGGTCGGCGCTAAGCATGCCTGCCAGAATCTCCTCACGCACTGGGAGGGTCTTGAAACTGTCCGAGGACGGAAATGGTGCATGGAGATAGAACCCAATGTTTGCTTTGTGAATCTTCCGCGCAATGAAGGTTGGGGTCATCAGCATGTGGTAGTCCTGAATGAAGATCAAGTCGTTCTCATGTGTGTGAGGCACCACAGCTAAGGCGTAGATGTTGTTGATGTGTTGGTATGCTGCCCAGCCCTGCTCGCTGAAGGGTTCACCCTTCGCCGACTGGAAGAACTGCATGCTGTCATGAAGCACGGGCCAAAGGAACGTGCGACAGAAGTTGAGGAACGCCTCAAACTCCGCTCGCGGAGGGAAAACCGGGACGAAGTCATGAGCTGCAAGCAGCTTTTCGATCTCTCTCTTTTCCCTGTCGTTCTCGGGGTGCACACCCGGCCAACCAATATTGACAACCTTCAGCTTCTTCTTGTCCTTGACTTCCTGCAAGAGCGGCAGGAAAGCGAAGTTGCGGCCATCATTGGGCGCCTTTTCGCTGAGCCTCCAGGTCCCGCCACTGTCCTTGAAAACTTTCACGGGGAGCTGGAAGGCAAGCATAAAGATCGTGTCCCTGGCACCTATCTCGATTTGGTCTTCCAGCACCTCTTTGAGGAATGACCGCTTCTGATCTGTGTCCATGTTCTTCACCAACGACGACCTGGTTTGTATGTGGTACATTTCGTCAAACTCATCGTCGCTATCCTGCTGTTCGTTAAAGCCGACCTTTTGCCGAAAGATTCCATCATCATCTTCCATGGTCATCTCCGTTCCATTGGCTATCAGCGAGCGCGTTTGCTCGGATCCCTCCCATTCCCTAGGCTCGTCATCAGGGCCGCAAAGTACATATCTGTACTGCACACGCGCATGCAGCTCTACGAAAATCGGATTGGGCGAGATGAAAACGGGGTATATGTCATCGTTGGTCTCCAACTGTATACCTCTTTTGGACTGCCAGCTCCCAAGGCTTTCATGGTCGCCGACAACACGGACATACTCGCCAGGCGAGGTGGAGCATGCTACATGAAAATAGATCTTCGTGTGTGGAACACGGGCTTTGCCATGGGCGTGTCCATGGGATCCGTGTGTCTCCGGTATTTTCAACGAAGGTGGCTTCAAAGATGTATCAATCTGCAGACGGCCTCCCTTCTGCCGTAGGGATGGGTCCATGTGTGGCCTCGCGGCCAGCCACTTTTGGCCGAAAGACCGAAGGGCGGAAGTCGAGCTTCGTCTGCCGAAAATGCTACTATACTAACCTACTAAGGTGTGGTCTGTCCTGACTGAGCCAAAGTCGCAAGAGAGAGGTACACTGGACTGCGTGCGCGATCAGGACTTCCAAAGTTGAGATCGGCGGAAAGCGCTGCTGTACGATCACCGACGACAGCGCACCCTGCTCCGTAAACTGTGGCAAGAGCTGCAACACACCGTCGTAAAGGGATCAAGCTCGAGCCCGCTCCAGGGTCCAGGCTTGAGGTGCCAGCTGCAGAACCCCGAAGCTGAGCAGACTGGCGTCGACCTCAGTGATCACTAACTGTCACTATAAATGTCAGCAGCACTTTTCTTACCGGTCCTGCCCCCCCCCCCCCCCCCCCCCGCACAGCCGGCAGCGAGGGTTTTTGTTGCAGTGCATTTGGGAAGCTGACACCGCTCAACTGCCTGCTGCAACTGAAAGACCCGAAGGCCAAACAGGACACAAGCTCAGGAGTCTAAGCCACACAGAAAAGGAATTTGTGTGACTGTTGCATAGCCCTGGCCATGGCGACAAGGAGAACTGCTCGCCGTTTCACTGAGGCCCCGTCCGGGAGCAGAGATGCTGGGAGCTGTGCCTTAACCAACGGCGAAACTCTGAACTCGGAGAGCGCATCCAGGAGAGCTGAGGCTGAAACATGCCATGAGCGTGACAAGCTACAGCCGAAAAGGACGGCATGGAGGACAAACAACCCATGCGTGCTTGTAACTCACATATTAACTACGTGGAAGGCAGGTAGACTTGCTAGCTGCTAGATCTAGAACATCGATTTGCAGCCCAGACACTCAACGTAGGTGAGTGGAAGGGCGAAAACTCCTGCCACATCCGCTCGCTGCACGTTTGCAGTTTGCATGATGAGACTCACACCCTAAACCCTAAACCCATATGTGCGCAGGGCAGCCAATGCCAACAAGACGGGAATGGCCCAATGGAGGGCTGAGAGCCCAACACGCCCTGGAGCTGGGAAGTCCCAAATGCGAAGTCTCCTGTCCTTGCCAGCATGTGTGAGTTGCTGCAATCACAAAGTGCTTGAGACTCAAAATCCTCCGAGACTTACATGGGATCGGTGTGGCCTTGGCTGCCGTGAGAAGCCGCCGGTGGCCGTCTACCCAGCATATTTGGGTAATCTCGTCCTGTCGCCCATCACATCACAAGAAACACCCATCCACGTTGCATTGCAGTATCCCTCCGCAGTGACTGCCTCGTGCGCTTTCCAGGCATATGATGGCACACAGCTATCCACATCGAAAGCCTCGAAAGCACTCTCGGCTGCTTGGGCAAATAACGTGCTCCACATACCAATTATGCACCAATGCATCGGTCTGCAGCTTTCAACTGGTATGAGAATCACATCAGCCGCCCACTCGCAACATTAGCCTGCCGCCACCACCATTTTCCGTCCCGCCCTGCCCCCCCCCCCCACCCGCCGGCCGCCACGAGCCGGGCCTCTCTTTGGTGTATTTTTAAGTCGCCAACATGCGCTCTTCCGACTAAATCTCAGCACTCTTCCAAAGATACTGACAGGTCTTGCATCTCAAATCTGTTTTCCGGTGTCAACTGATTTGTGATGCATGTCGGACCTCTCCAGCCAGCATCGGTCAAAACTCTATTCTCCCAGTTCTAAGTTCTAATACACCCGCTGCAGCCACAAGAATCCCAACACTATGCTCCTCAAGCACACTCCAAAGCCAAGTCGCAACAACAGCCCCTGTAGCAGAGCCGGCCAGGATCTCCTCCAAAGCTCAGGGCTTCGGGGTTGGGGCTTCGGGGATGTTGAGGGTATTTTAGGGTTGAGGGTTTTAGGGTTTAGGGTTTTAGCGTTTCGGGGGTCAAGGTAGTCCTAAGAGGGTTCGGGGAAGTGTTGCACCTCGGGGTTCGAGGTTGGAATTGGGTATCAAACAGCTCGGAAAGCGCGAAGAGCAAGCAGCAGTCCCGAGACGAGGGAGCCCAGGCCACCCCCGTCAGCCTGTCACGGCTTTGGTGTTCGTGCTTGAAGGCCCTAAACCCTAAACCCTTAAGGTGCTGGGAATTTGGGGCATTTGGGATTTTGGGGTTCAAGATCCTTGGGTTGCGTCTCACAAATTGGCGCCGCCAGGTATGGTCTTGAGCGGTGAACGTCTTCAGCATACAGACAACGCCAATTGAGCAAACTGTACGTAATGGTACTTGCAACAGCAACAGCGGGCTTGGGGGGGTGTGGGTTTGGGATTTAAATGACCCTAAACCCTAAACCCTAAACCCTGGATTTGAGGGAGGTTCTTGCAAGAGGCTGGGGTCCACGAGGCTGAGGCTGCGACGCGTTGGCCGTGGGAATGGTGCCGATTTTCCGGCCCCAGCTGCCTTAGAGACAAGCGAAACAAAAGAAGCCAAACGACTCGCGCCCCTTTAGGGTTTACGCTCTCACAACTCGGACTAGCAATGGTGCGAAGTCGGCGTGATACAGGAATCAACATCGAGGGTTTCGACCCTCACACTCGCACCAGGCAGGCAAGGTTGCACATAGTCACGTCACGCCAAGGAGACCCTGGACCCTGAAACGCATACAAATAAGGAAATCAAACACTACAAATAACAAGGAGCTACGCTCATTGGCAACAGGATCCAGGTGTCTCAGCAGTAGGAACATCGAGGGTTTACGCTCTCACGACTCGGACATGCCAGGCGAGGTTCATGGTTCGCAGTCGGCGTGAAACGGGAAGCAAGAACCCCCAGGAGGAAAGAACCAACTCCAAACACCGAATGCTAAGACCCTTACCATAAAAGAGCCCAATCGAGGGTTTAGGGTTTAGGGTTTCCCCCCTTATAAAGATGCACAGAGACAGACATACGAACGCCCACATGGGTTACTGCGTGCTGTTCAGCAAGGCATTGCTTCACTTGATGGCATCTCAGGGCTCCACCAGTTTGGGCCGATTTTACACTCCACACGCCCAGCAACTCTTTGCTGGCCGAGAAGAGCCTCAGCGCCGTTCCGAGTAGGTGAGAAACCCTCCAGCACGACTTGAGGAGCAAAGGCGACTAGTCCAGCTGGTTGCAGCGAAACTCATTTCTTGCATCCGTCTGCGTGGAGGCTGTCCTAGAGTCAAAAAGGGCTGAGCGCCCGGACACGTATTTGCCACTACTCTACCGCATGCTTTCTCTGAAGCGCTGCCATGTCAAGCGGGCTCGCATCGACAACCCGTTTGGCTCACATCCTACGCCCTACGCACCTGGCCCGAGCTTCAGAACACACCGAAGATCTAGACGGCGTCCGAAGACAAAAGCTGGGACACTGGAATTCCTGCAGCACGCGGGTTTTGGGAATCTTTGGGTCATCGGGCTACTCTTCCGACTTCGCCCTGCCTTGCTGGATGCATCGCATGTAGTGGTAGATGAAGTCCTATGCCGACGTGAGCATGCTATGCCGTGACATCAGCTTCTTCAGGCCTCTGCATGCCCTCACATAAACAGCTGCTGTCCCCCATGATCAGAAGCTGCACCAGCTGCGCACATACCACCCAGTTTCCCACGAAGGCCTCCGGAAATCATGACAGGAAGCTCCCAGCTCAATTCGGTACAACTGCTGCCTTGATGTGGTGATTTGGGTCCGAGAGCTCGCCTCAGACAGGGCAGCTTAGGGCAGGGCACTGGAGATGCAAGACGACAAGACTCTACAAGCACCCGATGAAACCGGAATCTGTCAGTGCCGATCGTCACGAAAATAGAAATAGCAAATATCAATCTGTGTTTGGAGCGGTAGCCTGAGCTTCTGAAACTGTCCGCGGATGCCGAGGGACCCTCGGGGTGGGTGGCACTAAGCCAATGTAAGTGCCAGTGTTTCATGAGAGCACTCCTGTTCCCTCAAGGTCCCGTTACGACCTGAGGGTGAGGGCGCCGAGACAAAACCCGACTTGCAGCACCGATGTCTCACGGTTTGCTTTAGATGTCGCCATGTCAACACCCCATCCAATTGCCTGTGGTCCTTCTGTTTCACCACGCTATGTCCCAACATCCACGGTCAGCTTGCTGTTCTTGGCTTTACCTTCCTACGGTATGCTTGCTCCCGAGCGTCCTACATTCCTCTAAGTCTAAGTCTTCCCAAGATTTTGGTGTCCTTAGACTTAGAGGGTTCGCAGCTTCTGTGGTGCTGGCCCGGCTGCTGCTTCTTCCGCATGCTGCCAAGAAGCTAAACGAGCTTGCCCAGAAAATGAAGCTCATCAACTTGGCCAGGGCCTGACGGCTTAGGGTCACACACACAATGCCCGTAACTTTCCCCAAATCGAACGAACCTGCGCAGCCAGGAAGTGGGAAGTGTGCCTGGGTGTGCTCCCATTCCGCAAACAGACGCGCAGCTGTTTCTTGACAGGTGCACGAATCGACTTGAACCTGGATGCTCCTGCGCCCGGCCCTCTTTCATGAACATAAAGAGCTGACACAGAACCGCCACAGACTCCTTAGCAAAGGCATGCAGGTAAGTTGCACCCAGATCGATTTCGGACAAGCCCGGAAAAAAAGAGAGAGGGAGAGAGAGAGAGAGAGAGAGACACGGAGAGAAAGTGAGCACGGACGGCCGGACGACGCAGAAGCGCTGCATGCCGAAGTACCAAGTAAAGAGCGAAAGCCCAGCCGATATCTGAAGGCAGAAAGCCATTCCTGAGATCCACTGGGTCGAGCATCTGGCGCCATGGCCATGTGCCTGTACTGGTGCCATCTAAGCCCCAAGCCCTTGCAAACGGCCTCCCCCCTCTGGCCAAGGTGCAGGTTCGGATGGAAGATCAAGGACAAGCCTAGAGCACCAACGCCCAAATACAAATGTTGAAAGGTGTCCGTTGCCTCGGCGCACATCACATGCAACACAAGGCAGCAAGGCGGTACCCGGAGTATACCCTAAACCTGCACACCCACAAACCGCTCTGCCGCTTCTTTGTTTTGGCCTGGCATTGGAGATCAGGCGCAAGCGGGTCTTGGTCTGTATGATTTTCATGCATTGCTGGCTCAACTTCCAGGCAGAGCTGTAGAAAAGGAGATGGCTAGACTGGTACTGAAATGGGCAGGAAAACTGCAGATCAGCCCGGGATCACCAATTCATTGAAAGCTCAAGCTTCTTGGGAAAACTGGAGTCGTTCAAACTGGTCCGCTAAGACTGGACTCGCACCTTCCCTCACGAGCTCGGGGACCAGCTGCTTAAGTAAAATGCACTCGACTGGCGTCACGGGCAATAACGGCTATAAAGAAAGGCTACACTGCTAAACTACTTGACTCATGTGGCCCAGAGGCACAGAAGGCAGCAGTTACTCGGAAAACCAATTACTCGGCGCGAGTGCGAGTGGTGACACATCTTCAGGGCCATGCCAGCGCTCTCAGACCCTGGACGGAGGCGGACACGCTTTGAACATGTGATACTGTTGATGACACAAATCCTGCATGACCTTAAGGACCCTAAACTATGGGAATTATGGTATATTCCTTACTATGGGTAATGCAGGATTTGTATCATCAACCGTATCTTGGAGTCAAGGGATCCTCGGCCTCGGCCTCTCACTGCATCCAGGGGTGGGCAGCCACCGTGGCAAGATCGGCGCGTGCTGCCGGGTTCACCACGAGCCTGAGGTCAGCGCTTCCAGGGCGAGATGGTCTTGGCATCCAAAGGACAGAAGGCCCTGCTTGCGGCTGGGAGGCATCTTGTTCAACAAGTCCATGACTTGTGGCGAGGCCCCTGGTGGCGGTTGGAAGGTTCCTGCAAGCACGGCCGGCTCCTCTGGCGCAAATGGGGGTCGACCGGCCAGCATATGGTAGAGGACACAGCCCAGGGACCACACGTCCACCTTCGCATCGTAGGGCTTCGACCGCATCTTGGCATACTGGATCTGCGCAGGCAGCTCCACCTGCTCAACCTTCGGCAGCACTTTTCCCTTTCCTTTGTTGTCACCCGTCACCTTGTAGGACCCATCGAATGCACCACGGGAGGAATTGTCCAGCAAGCGATCACCCATAAGGTCGAGGATGTCCTGCACGCAACAGAAGGGGGCTTGAGGCCTGTCCTCCACATGGCCGCACCTCGAAATCCATGTTGCTGACGTCCCTTCCATTTACCTTGGCACGAAGGCCGTCTGTTCATTGACTTGTTCGGGTCTCAAGAACAATGCGTGTCGGCGTCCGGCCTGGCCACGATCTCTACTGCTTTCTTCTTGAAGCCAGGTTTCCGACTTCACGACCCACTCGTTCTGGACCCCAGCTACGAAAGCTTGACCAAGAGGGTCACCTGCACCACGCGCACTCCTTCACGACGCAAGCATGCGGTCATGAACAAGAACATGTCATCATTTGGTCATGGTTGGAGAGTTGGTCTTTGACAGTGAGTGCATCATGCATCCTGTACTGTACGTCGCTACTTCTTCCATTCCGTCGTTGGCCTGTTGAGAATCAGGGCCCCTCACCTCCCCTCACCCTCCATGGACAGCTTACGGCTTACGCTATGTTTTGGGCCTTTTGATTGCTGGCTCCTGCCCTTGCTGCTTTGGTTCCGGTTGTTTCCCAAGGTTCTGCTCGTTTGTCGTCACTGCTGGGCCGCTTGTCGCTGGCTGCTCTGATGGCCGGAAGGCCCTGGCAAGGCCTGGGTATCGCGACTGCTCGATGACCTCAATAATGCGAGCGCCCTTGTTGTTCGGACCTGGGCGCAAGGGATGGCACATCTGGGCAGAGCGGAGTTCGACGGCTCTGAGGGCAGGGCCCGGCTTGTACTTCCGAATCCCAAAAGGCCGCTTCTTGAACTCGATCTGAACCGTAGATTCGACCTGCGAGGCATCCGTGGCGTCGAAGTCGTCCCCACGCGCGATGATCACCTCCGGGGCCATGAACTGCAGCGTCCCAATGAACTTGTCCGCCACCAGAGGCCCCGTCTTCGCCCAGTGGCCCGCTCCGAAGTCGATCAGCTTCACCTGGAAAGCAGAGCGCTCACTTGAATCCTAGACTCTTAGACACAGAATCCCAAAACAAAAAAGAGAAAAGGACTCAGCACTCCGAAGTCTCAGTGGCAACAGGCTGGTTCATGTCGTGAGTGCTGTCGGTGCAAAGGAGGATGTTGTCAGACTTCAGGTCCCGGTGTAGGATATTGCGGGAATGCAGGTGCTGAATGGCACCCACGACCTGCTTGAAGATGTGTTTGGCCTTCTGCTCGGGCATAGGGCCCGTCTTCTCCAGCAAGTCCCCCAGCTCGCCACCCTTGGCCAACTCCATCACTATCATCTTCCCCTCCGCCCCCTCAATTGGAAAGGCGTCGATGAGCTGAACAATATTTGGGTGCTGGCCAATGTGGGTGTGAATCTCAATCTCTCTGTCCAAAACCTCTGTGTTTGCGGTGAAGACTTGCTTGACGGCAAGTTCCCTGCCCTGCATGTCCGTACATTTGTAGACCTTGCCATAACCACCAGCTCCCAGCAAATCGTTCTTATCCTCAGATACTGTCGTTCTACCTACGCTTTGCTTTGCAATGTCTGGACACAGGTCAAGAGTCAAGGCGGTAGCCATTGCCAAACGTCATAGTCATGACCTGGGCTTGGACCCATCTCCTCTAGACTTCCGACCTGCGCAACCCGATCGGTCCTTGCGTTCATCAAAGGGTTCTGCATTGGGCGGACATGCTCTGCATTCAGGGCATCAGCCGCTTCATTAAGACCCCGGCATTGCAGCGTGGGACGAGGCTTCCACTCTGCCATGTGTGTAAGCACGCCAATGACACACCTCGACAAGGACGCTTTTGTGTGCTGGGTGGCAAATGGCAAGGGGCCCTTCTTCGAAAAGCACCAGAAGCAAGTGCGACTGCAACCAAAACGCAGAGCGCGGCGAAACCGGTCCCTCGGTGGCGCTTTGTGGGTCTGGTGTGCGTGGATGCCAAGACCGGCATTCCGGGTGAGGAACCTGCGTGCGGGACGAACTCGGATGACATTAGTAAGACCTGCCAAACTCCCGTGACAGGCATGCCAAGCGAACCGAGAACCTTCTCCCGTCACTCCTCTAAAAATTCTCCATGCATACTTGCGATGGAGTCCGGCTACTTCACTTCACAGAATTAGTCGGGCCCCCGCAATTCCCAAAGGCCAGATTCATCCGCAAATTCCATTACAGGAATGATCTTTGGCGTGCTCCTGAATCCGCCAGGACCTTGGGGGTGGTGTCCTGGTGTCTTATTGGTGTCCTGAGCATAGTCTGTAGGTGGCCTGCTCGTGGCCTCTGGTTGTTTGTTTTCGGGTCTCCGTCTCGGTGGGCGGCGCTAGACAGCTGCATCCAAGCTGCAGGGCCAGGCTCGCATTCTCCCCCCAACCGAGAACCCAAAGCTTGAACCCTGCCTTTGATCGGAGGCTGCTCCTCGTGGCTGCGAAGCCCAGAGCCGAATGACGGCTGCGGAGAGATCGGGAATCAAGCTGCACAGAAAGCCGGCCGAGTGGCGACTCCATCGATGCTACATCCGCTATGTCAGCAAATATGTCGCTATGTACTCCAGGTTCGAATTCAAGGCTGTTCAATAAGTCAAGGCTTCAGGCTTCAGGCATGTCTGGCAATGAGAGGGGTCACTGTCTCTGCATCCGAGCTGCAGGATCATAGGTTGCAGCATATTTTATGCGGCAGAAGTACACTATCCTCAGTCGACCCGGCTGGCACGTCAGGGCATCAGCACGGGCCCGCAGCTAACACAGTAAGATGGCCGGTCTTGCCATCGAGTCTGTAGTCTCTGAGCCTCCGGCGTACCCGCAAGGCAGAAGCCAAGCGCCTGGGTTGGAATCACTTGCGTAACAAGCAGGCCCAGCACTACCCGGCGGCATTCCCGGCGGCCTCGCAAGTCTGGTAGAACCAGTCGCCTGACCTTGAGCGTCGGAGACTGGCGATGAATCGCACTGGCTCTTCAGCCATCACTGACGCTTGCTTGGTGACTCCAGCTGAGAAGCTTGTCAAACGGAAGGTAGCCCTCGAAAGGAATGATGGCGCAAAGGCGGCAAAAGAAGATCACAAGGTAACACCTGAATTCGCAGGGCGAATCCATGCTACAGGATGTTCAGGTGAGCTCAAAAACTCAAAAGGGCATCACTTCCTCAACTCCAGCATCACGACTCCTCCAGACCACGGCACTCCATCATTTTCAATGAAACTCCCTTGCAGGAGCGGCCGATCTCCATCTTCAGTGCGACCATGAGGAAGCTGAACCTGCGATTTTACCACGGCTTAAGTGCCGTATTCTCTCGTGGAGCTCCCAGTGTGTTCAATGTTCCTACTAGATTACTCGATGTCTCCAGCACTCCCCAAGACCCGTGTCCAAAGGCACAGGCCGGTCTTTCACGATATCGTTGAAGCTTCCGCTTCTTCTCCGTGAGTCAAGTCAAGGGGCATGCTCAACAGAGAGGAGAGCGTCCTCAGGTCCGAGCAATGCTTTCAGACCAGGTCGCAACAGCCCCGGAAGCAAAGACTGAAGCCCAAACCCGAAACCCAACAACCCGAAACCCGACCCTGAACCCCTGAGCCCCTAAACCCCTAAACCCCTAAACCCTAAACCATGAATCCTCAACCCCGATCTCCAATCCCTATATTCCCTGAAAAACAGAAGCCCCAACTGGAAAATCCGCAGTCGCAGTTCGCTCATGGGCTATTTTTGGCGTGAAAGGGGGTCCAGGCTGAAGGCTAGCTTCCGTTTCGGATAAGAAGGTATATAGGGTTTAGGGTTTTAGGTTTGGGGGTTTAGGGCTTTTAGGATTTAGGGTTTAAGGTATACCTGGAACCCAAAGAACCTAACGTTTTAGGGCTCCTTATTATGATTTCTTTTTATAAGTCCGTCCTAAAAATGGAGGACATTTGGGGTGAAGGTAAGCATAGATGGGCCAATGTGGGTCCAAACAGCTGACTAGTAAACTGCGCGTCCTTGCCTGCCTGCTGCCTCCTCGTAGAAGGCAATGAACAAAAACTCACTCTTGGAAGCCCTACCCAAAAACGGAACAAACCATAAAAGTACCCAAGATTCTTGGAAGTAGAGTGTGCGTACCCCGGCTTCCTACACCGTCACTTACCCTATGCTCTATGCAGATCAGGGTATCTTGGTTCAGTTAATATAAGTGGGCTAAATGGGCCCAGGCCATGCATATACTACAGCGGCCTTACAAAATAGAACAGGGTGATGGTACACATTGGAACATAATGTGTACCAACACCCTGTTCTAATAATAACATCATATCCTAAACTCTAAACCCAAAACCCTAATAATGACAACATATAGTGGGAATTCTAGGGGGTCACATCTCTAATCCTTCCGATCCCTTGCAAAGACAAACCTTCGGTGGCTTTGTGAATGTCTGCATAAAGGGCTCATGGGACTCCCAGGCTCAATAGCAGTTCCTTTATGGGATTACCTTGAAGGATCCTAAATATAAACCACANNACTGCTATGGAGCCTATGGGTAAGGTTGTAAGTACGTCCTACTTAGTATATGGTTTATCGTAACGCTTAGCAAGGTTATGACCGAACTTTCTAGTCCCCTGAGCCCTGACCCTAAACCCCAAAACCTGGGTTTCCCAGCAGCCCCTGAATAAATAAGAGTACTCCCTTTGTTCGTCCTGTTCGGTTTTAGTAAGGGAGCCCAGAAATATAAAGGGCAAAAAAGGCTCTACTGGGAGCTAAACCCTAAACCCCCAAACCCTAAACCCTAAACCCCTAAAACCCTAAACCCTAAACCCCTAAAACCCTAAACCCTAAACCCTTACCCCTAAACCCTAAACCCTAAACCCCTAAAGGGTTCT